ACCAGCAACACGCTGGTGGAGCTGGTGGGCGCGCTGCTGGGCGCGCCGCCGCTGCTGCCGCACGTCGCGCTGCTGGCAGACTTCTTGCTGCTCATGCACCAGGTACTGCACTCGGACTGCTCCACCAGCAACACGCTGGTGGAGCTGGTGGGCGCGCTGCTGGGCGCGCCGCCGCTGCTGCCGCACGTCGCGCTGCTGGCAGACTTCTTGCTGCTCATGCACCAGGTAGAGGAGTTCGAAATTAAGGTTCGACTTCCCTCCATTGCAAAGCGGATGACAGGTGACAAACAAAGGTTTAAAACCTTTAAGAAAAGATTATGCACCACGGACAATAAATTAAATTAAGGGGGCCTATCTTATGAGCAATTAGCAACTACCTGCCAATAATATTTTTCACAAAATCGCTTAAAAGCACGGAAATTTTTCCTTGTCGCGACAAGATCGGTGTAATAAATTGCGGAAACAGATGTATGTTGTATTGAATTAAGCATTATATCACGTTCATGTTTCCAAAGATCACACTTAGCTCGACACCCGACACCTCAAATGGGGACGCTGTTTCAACCTGATGCACGACTCGTTGCGAGGCTTTCAGCAGCGTGGACCGAGCTAGACTTTGTCGTTCGGGACGAGGCAGACGATCAGCCTGAGGCTGCCTCCGGTGGATACGCGGCTTAACATACATGTTTCTACTCCCTTAGCACTTCTATGACTAAGACTGCGCACTAGCATGCGATTCGTCGCACGCGCAGTTACTCTTTATTAAACAAGTATCCGTTGTTATATCTATTCTTGTGTGCGAAGCAATGTCAATAGTACTTCATGCAGTGTAAACAGCAAACGTTTGTGCTTTAGGAAGTGACATGGGAGGTGGAGGGCGTGGGCGCGCGAGCACAGGGCTCGGCGTGGGCGCTGCTGCTGGCGTGCGGCGCGAGCCTGCTGCGCGCACAGCACCCGCTGCGCCGCTTCAATGCGCACCAGGCCGCGCGCGCCGACCTGCTGCGACACCTGCTGGTGGCTTGCAAGGTAATAGTAATAACGAAGAGCTTCGATCAATATCTAAACAAGCTCTCGCTAAATGGAGTGACCCTTGAGCCAACTATTTAGCAAGAGCATCACGGCACGCATTGTCCGGAGGTGTCTGTCTGTGATTCTGTCCACCGGTAGCTTGCCCTGCCCCATTTTTGCCACGTTAAAAAAAACAACAACATTATCTTCCTTTGATTGACTCAGCCTAAACTGAATGATGTGTGTTCGCTTCCAGGAGAGGTTCCTGAACTCGGACTGCCCGCCGCTGAGCGCGGCCACCAGCAACACGCTGGTGGAGCTGGTGGGCGCGCTGCTGGGCGCGCCGCCGCTGCTGCCGCACGTCGCGCTGCTGGCAGACTTCTTGCTGCTCATGCACCAGGTACTGCACTCGGACTGCCCCACCAGCAACACGCTGGTGGAGCTGGTGGGCGCGCTGCTGGGCGCGCCGCCGCTGCTGCCGCACGTCGCGCTGCTGGCAGACTTCTTGCTGCTCATGCACCAGGTACTGCACTCGGACTGCTCCACCAGCAACACGCTGGTGGAGCTGGTGGGCGCGCTGCTGGGCGCGCCGCCGCTGCTGCCGCACGTCGCGCTGCTGGCAGACTTCTTGCTGCTCATGCACCAGGTACTGCACTCGGACTGCTCCACCAGCAACACGCTGGTGGAGCTGGTGGGCGCGCTGCTGGGCGCGCCGCCGCTGCTGCCGCACGTCGCGCTGCTGGCAGACTTCTTGCTGCTCATGCACCAGGTACTGCACTCGGACTGCTCCACCAGCAACACGCTGGTGGAGCTGGTGGGCGCGCTGCTGGGCGCGCCGCCGCTGCTGCCGCACGTCGCGCTGCTGGCAGACTTCTTGCTGCTCATGCACCAGGTACTGCACTCGGACTGCTCCACCAGCAACACGCTGGTGGAGCTGGTGGGCGCGCTGCTGGGCGCGCCGCCGCTGCTGCCGCACGTCGCGCTGCTGGCAGACTTCTTGCTGCTCATGCACCAGGTACTGCACTCGGACTGCTCCACCAGCAACACGCTGGTGGAGCTGGTGGGCGCGCTGCTGGGCGCGCCGCCGCTGCTGCCGCACGTCGCGCTGCTGGCAGACTTCTTGCTGCTCATGCACCAGGTACTGCACTCGGACTGCTCCACCAGCAACACGCTGGTGGAGCTGGTGGGCGCGCTGCTGGGCGCGCCGCCGCTGCTGCCGCACGTCGCGCTGCTGGCAGACTTCTTGCTGCTCATGCACCAGGTACTGCACTCGGACTGCTCCACCAGCAACACGCTGGTGGAGCTGGTGGGCGCGCTGCTGGGCGCGCCGCCGCTGCTGCCGCACGTCGCGCTGCTGGCAGACTTCTTGCTGCTCATGCACCAGGTACTGCACTCGGACTGCTCCACCAGCAACACGCTGGTGGAGCTGGTGGGCGCGCTGCTGGGCGCGCCGCCGCTGCTGCCGCACGTCGCGCTGCTGGCAGACTTCTTGCTGCTCATGCACCAGGTACTGCACTCGGACTGCTCCACCAGCAACACGCTGGTGGAGCTGGTGGGCGCGCTGCTGGGCGCGCCGCCGCTGCTGCCGCACGTCGCGCTGCTGGCAGACTTCTTGCTGCTCATGCACCAGGTATGTGACTAAAGTCCGATCGCCGAGCACATAGAACGTCGTCCAATGACCCCTAGCTACCCATCCTTGTTGTTCGCACGTAATTTTTTTTTTTATGTATGTCTTTGTTGCCTGAATCTGTTGTTGACAAAATAAAATTATTTTCTTTCTTTATTTCTTTATTTCTTTAATTATATTTGCTCGGCAACTGGACTTTAATCCCACCACTGCAACTCGTATAAACAGTAGTACACAGTTTGACCTTCCATGAAACCCAAAAGGAGGTGGTACATTGTCATATTAGGACGTGACATGACAGCATATAATTCTGAAGGAGGTCTGAAGTCTCGGTGACGTTGGACATTCCAAAAACACTCTTCCGTGCCTTTTCCATACCTCAAGCACTGATTTAAGTGACCTTAAGGCCCGGTTTTTTGATTCGTAGTTAAAATAACCAATAGTGAAATTTGACAGATGTCAAATGACAAGTGGTTAAATATCAGAAAAAATGTTTTTCGAACAATGGTTACCTTGACTTTTAGTACATTTTTTAACTATTAGTTACCATTTTGTTAATATTTAACCATTAGTAGCAAAATTTAACAATTTGTTATTTTAACTATGAATCAAAAAACTGGGCCTTAGTCTCCTCTACACAAAATTTTAAACTCACTAGAATTTCTACATTTTTGAGCAACTCTTAACTCGTACTGTAATATCTCCGTCAGGCCAGCGACACGTTTGTAACCCACTCGCGCGCCAACTTCTACTTCCTGCTCACTCCCGAGACGCAAGAGATGAGCGACTTCAACACCAACTCTCTGAAGAAGAAGCCTTCCCGGCGGCGGCGTCAGGAGCGAGCCAGTGTCCCCAGCGCCCCAGCTGAGGGTGCCCCTGTGGATAGCGCCCCTTCAGATAGTGCCCCTACGGAACCCGGCGAGCCGCGGGACACAGGGCAGCTCACAGACACCGACGCTGAGAAGACGGACCCTGACAGTAGCGTGGACTCCACCAAGAAGATGAAGGGTATCATCAACTCGCAGATTAAGGAAAACCAGTTAGTATTTGATGCTTATTTTATCCATCGGAGTCTTTTATTTTTTTTATCTTGCATAGATTTTGTCATTATTGATTGTATCACTTTTTATTTTATTTTTATTTATTTAAGTAGTTTGACATCTACGGCACTAGTGTAAAAATGTGGTGGATGTATTATCCCATTGAAAAGAACTCTCACTATGGAGATAATTTATTTTAGTGCAGTTCATTCATGTCCATTTCAGAAAAACAACGGACACATCTTCAGTAACGGAAACCTCAGACCCGCCGCCAGCAGTAGGTAATAATACTTGTTTGTTATTGTTCATGTTTGTTTGATTTGTGTTTGTACCATCACATTTGATAAGGCAGGGAAATATACCGGTATGCCGCATTTAAACATGCTTCAAACATTGAAAATCATTTTCAACGAAAATAAGAATTTGGTAAGAGTCAAAAGTAACATTGTTCGTAATGCTTTGAGTATTTATAGCCTGACCAGGAACATAAAAACCCTGGCATAGAGGCGCTTCAATTGCATTTGATAGTGCAACACTGAGTACAGTCGTACATGTGTTAAATTAATAGGCTAAATTTATGTATCAGGATTCAGGATTACGGGCTAATTTGATATTTTCATAAATGAACGAAAAATATTATTAAAGGTAACCTGGTTTAAATAAATTAAATGAAACCATCAATCGAGCTAGTAGGATTTATTTTATTATTCATCAATAATCAAATTCAGAACTTGAATATTCAACTGCAATGTCTGCTCATGAACGCTTCAAACTCGGTACTTCTTTCCCAATTCCATAAAATTGATAGAGAATAATACAAAGTAATAAAAACTACCGGTTATAGGGGCATTTTTTGGAGAAATTTATCAAATAACCAAAAAAACACGAATTTTTAAGCGGATTTTTTTCAAAAAGTATAATTTTTTTATTATTTGTTGGCCTTTTTTGTGTATTTTATGTATTTTTTAGTATTGCCTGTTATTTAGCATTATTATTGTTTTTATTTTATCAAGATATACAGCTTAGTTTAAAAGTTATTATGTTTTCTTTACAATAAGTAATTGGAAGAAAAAAAATTCTATAAAAAATTAAAAAAAAATCTCAAAAATTTTTTGACCTCTTTTTTGTCGATAAAAATAGGTCTAGTTTCATCTATTTTCATATGTACACTTTAACGTGACTCACACTGTATTGCTGTCGCGACTGGCACCCGCAGTGAGTGTGCGGGCGCGATAGCAACATAATTACGCGCGAGCGATAAGGATGGGTAGCTTGGGGTCATTGGACAAAATTCTACGTGCTCACGGACCAGACTATACTGCTTTTCACACCTACGCACATACGATTGGAACTAAATTATCAGATAATTACGTCTGCTATTTTTCACACTAGTCGCTTGTGAATAGTGCTTCTAACAAGCTAGCGGGTAGCGGTGGGCTCGTACTCGTAGGCTCAGTGAGAGCAAGCCCGCCGCTCGCTAGCTCCGGGGGTACAAGTGGTGGCGGTTGCAGAGCGGGCGCGGGCGGGCGCGCGCGACGCCGACCTCACGGAGTACATTGTTGTAGATGTCGACGACGTCAGCCACACCACCGTCGACCTCTACACCGGCGGGATATACCACCAGGTAAGTGGATATCTAATACTATATAGTGAGTTGCCACTTATAGGCATAGGCTTGAATTCTATCGGCCAACTAAAAATCGGCGGTCTGCGCAAGGTCTAAGGCTTGATTTCCTCCTACGCTGACGTCGGTCGCGTACATCGGTCGAGCGCACGAATAAACACAATGTTCTATGAAGCACCGCACTGCAACGCTGTCGTCAGTGCTAAATTATCGACCGATGTACGCAACCGTCGTCAGCATAGGAGGAAATCAAGCCTTAGACCTTGCGCAGATCGCCAATTTTTAGTTGGCCGATAGTTGGGTCGGGCTGTTAATCAGTATGGAGTTATATGAAAGTGCGCACATTACACCGATTTGCTATCGGCCGATTCTTCATACAAAATGAAATCGGGCCCAACTATCGGCCAACTAAAAGTCGGTGGTCTGCGTCTAGGCTAAAATAGAGACGTAGACCATCCTATCAAGCATTCAATACAGTCAATTAATTTAGGAAATTATATCCCTGACGAAAATTGCATTAACTGATCTATTTTTAAAGAGCTGTGGGGGGTAAAACCGGTCACAGTTTCTCTTGTTTCACGCAGCTCAGGATTGTGTAAGCTTAAAATGTGGAAGAACAATAAGACTGTAGTCGATCACGACGACTGTGTCGTTTCAGCTCATAATGACAACTTCTCAAAATGATAACCGGGACGCAAAATGTCCACTTCTCGAAATGACAACTTCTTAAAATGTCAACTTCGCTAAAAGACAACTTCTCGTTATGTCTATTTCTCACAATGACAAATTCGCATTTGGTCAACTTCGCATAATGACAACTCTAGAAGAACTAGAACTCTAGAAATAATGAAAATAAAATATCAACAAGTAGTTGACATTATGCGAAATTGACCAAATGCGAATTTGTCATCGTGAGAAATAGACAATATGAGAAGTTGTCTTTTAGCGAAGTTTACATTTTAACACCTTCGCTGCCAGCCTAAAAATGGCACTGTTCCGTTCGGGCCATGGGGGACAATGATGGGCGACACTTTAACTTTCCGTTCGGGCCGCGTCGGACAATGATGACCGCGAGTCAGACCTATGTTTAAACCTCTGTATTGAGCCGATGGACAGCATTTCTTCAATAATTCTCATATAAGCTGACCCGCGCGGCTCCCAAGATTAGTGTACGTCACTTGGTTCTCAGGTAAAGCTCGGACTTAGAAAAAAAAATGTGGATAACGGTAGCGCAATGAAACATGGTAATTATACAATGCATTTTTGCAAATTTATCAACTTTTTAGCAAGATAATAACGGTTTATTAATTAAAACATATCGTTTACTTATTTTATATAATTTATAATATGCAGGACAATAAAAAAAATCACTTTCATTGTTGAACAACCACTTTGTATGAAGGGTTGGTACAGGTACTAAGTTCTTTGTACAGCTACAAAACTTATGCCATTTAAAACCTTATTAGTGGCATAAATTATTGTACTTATTAGATGCTTACACCTAGCAGGATTGTCGAGAAAAATAGATTTGTTTAATGTATGAAAAAACATTTTTTCTCTTATCGATACTCTATTCTAGAACTTTTTTTATTATTCATGTAGGTCAAATTATTGGCATGTTAAATCAGCTATGTCATTATAATTATTTTTAATTTTAAGTATATTTTTAAATATTATTTGTAGATATACTGACAATTCAATATTGTTTTGAAAAAAGAACCGATCGAAAGTGACACTACAGTGATGGATGAAAAATTCAAAATACAGTCAAACAATTTCTAAAACGTCAAGTCGCAAAAATTGGATTAATAACCCAGTTGTTAGTAGCACCTTCCTGTAAATTTCATAATTATATGGCTGTCCAACGAGGCAAAAATGGGAACTAATAGTTCAGTATTGATAGTAGCGCCTTCCTGACAATGCCATAGCTGGGACGGCTCAGTTTTGGACAACTTTTATACGAATTATTGATAAATTCAATTTTTTAAATAAAATTTAAACCTTTTTTAATTAAAACAATTTGAAAAAAATCACTTTTAGCGTTCCTTTTACGGTATCATCGATTTATTTATTATTATTTTTAATCACTATTTAAGACTTATCCTGCTAGTTTCGTTTCTCATTTTATACCTTATAATATTCCTATTTATGCGTAATATAATATATCAAAAACCTACCAATGTACAACTCTTTATTTTTTTTGTTGTTCTCCTTTTTTTTTTGGATGCGAGCGGGGATGGTCGACAACATGACCGCGCGGCCCTACGGAACGGATTTTCGAATTTTCGCTCGCTGGGGCCATGGGGGTCAATGATGTCCGACGCTTAATAATTCCATGTAAAGACTCAAAAACAACTATATGTTAATAAAATCCTTTATTTATGTTTATAATGTAACGATTTAACAAAAAAAAAACAATCTACGAAAATTGAAAAAAATTGAAATTTTTACTTGGCCTGGTAGGAAAGTGCAGTGTCGGACAACATTGACCGCGTTGGCGTTCAATGTGTTAAGAAGTTGTCATTTTGAGAAGTGGACATTTTGCGTCCCGGTTGTCATTTTGAGATGTTGTCATTATGAGCTGAAACGGACTGTCCGACTGTCGTGTTCTCCTTCGACAAGCATAAATGTTTAAATCCTACCTGCATGGTGGTATAAGCGGGCGTAGCGTAAGGCATAAGTGACAGTGTGCGCGTGCTATAGCGGCGGCTGCGCGCAGGGGCGGAGCCCGGCTGGACGGCGTGCGAGGGGCTGCTGCTGCTGCTGCGCGACGCCGTGGCCGTGCTGCCCGACGACCAGCTCGCACAGGTCAGTGCAAGCTAGAATATTTTTGACCTGTACTGCTTACTTCATTCCACCCTAATATTTGCCCTCGATGTGATTCGATGTGACAGTTTAATATCATTTAAGGTCTCTACCCACTACACCGTATCATACCATGACCGTGCTAGGAACGTGTCAGGCAAATAAATATTATTTGTATTGAAAAGTATGACACTGTTCCCAGTAGACCGTTCCGTCACCGACCAACACCGTCGCGTGGCATGCACGTAGTAGCGTCAACAAATCTCGGCGAAAATATTTTCGAACTGTTCAGTGGGCATAGTACAGCGTTCGTTCGTTTTAGCCAAATGACGTCCACTGCTGGACAAAGGCCTCCTCCAAGGTTTTCCACAATGCACGGTCCTGCGCTGCCCGCATCCAGGCTCTTCCCGCGACCTTTACGAGATCGTCGGTCCACCTAGTAGGAGGCCTGCCCACGCTACGTCTTCGTAGTTCTTCGTACTTCGCTAATACAGCGTATCGTGTTGCTTTACGTGCCTGACACGTTCCTAGCACGGTCATGGTATGATACGGTGTAATGGGTACCTTTACACTTACTTGCGGATTGAAGTCGGATTGAGACTTAAAGCCTGATTCGTAGTTCTCATACATATTGTTCAAATTATAACCGTTACGGTCAGTGCCTCATCATATGAATGAAACCACCCTGAAACCGCACACGTTATCGCACGAAGAAGAAGGCTAAATTAGTCCAAGACGAAAAATACTAAAAAAAGTGTTTTCAATATCTCTTATCCTGGTCTGTCAGGCGCTGTGCGGCGCCGTGTCGGTGGAGAGCCTGATCGTGCTGGCCAACCACCGCAGCGGCAGCGTGCGCGCCGCGCTCGTGCGCGTGCTGGCCGCGCTGCAGCGCCGCGACCCGCCCGACCTCGCGCGCAAGCTGCGCCACCAGCACTACCTGCTGCACCTCGCCAACCAGGTACCTAACGGGAACCAGACTCGGGAACATCACTATCTACACTCGACAGCAAATAAATCGCACCACCCGCGACAAGCACTTATCAAACGTATGCATCCCCACTTCCCACCAACATTGGTACCATTTGAAAGCCTAGTTCTAAACTTCATTTCATTAAAGGAAAGGTTTTTACCCCAAAAATGTGTCTTTAGAAGGATACAGAGTCACTTCTTAAAAAAATAGGTAGTTACGCTTGAGCCAACTTTTATGGCTATAAAACTGATAAAATTGGGATTAATTGCTATCCATCTGTTAAAAAGGACTCGTAAGATCATTATTTGGTTTTATAACCACAAAAATTGGTCTACTTAGTCCTAGGTGAGCCCCAAGTGAGGCCTTTTTTCAAGTCACATTTATGGTACCTGTTAATTGTTTATAAAAAAATTTAATGAGTTTTTCTATAAGTTTATTTATTAGGCTTTCAAATAACACCAATATTGTTGGGGCACCATGATTGTGTCAGAAGAAAATCTCTAAAGTTCGCGTCGCGGAAGGTGCGATTTATTTGATGTTGAGTATATCTTCGTGTCAAACATTCGACTGCGTTTCCTGCTCGTCACTCGGCATCACTACCCCTGCGGCCGTATCTTTTGATGCTACCAAACACCGCATATCTAAAGCCCGGTCTGTGAGCACGTAGAATTTTGTCCAATGACCCTAAGCTACCCATCCTTATCGCTCGCGCGTAATTATATTGCTGTTGCGACTGTGCGACGGCCGCCCGCAGTGCGTGTGCAAGCGCGATAACAACATAATTACGCGCGAACGATAAGGATGGGTAGGTTGGGGTCATTGGACAAAATTCTACGTGCTCACAGACCAGACTATAGTGTCTGAGACCTCGTCAACTAGGCAATCATTGCTCTGAGGCTACAGCTCATTACTGCCGCGCTTCAGCGCCGCGACACGTATGATATCGTGATTTGATTACTAATTATTTTATTTTAATGTACCTTTATGCAGATATCGTTGTACGAAGGCACGTGGGAGCTGGCGGAAGCTTGTGCTGCTCTACTTACGAAGTGCGATGTCCCCCTTGAAGATCAGCTGGACGTAAGTTACTGACTCGTATTTGAGTACTTCAATGTGCTTTCATACAATTTTTGTAACAGCTTGTCTGATAGACATAATTATCTCTGACTAGCTGTGCCCGCGGCTTCGTACGCGTGAAAACCCGTTTTCGCAACATTTTTCATTATTGCTCTGCTCCTATTGATCGTAGCGTGATGTTGTATAGCCTAGCCTTCCTCGATAAACGGACTATCTAACACTGAAAGAATTTTTCAAATCGGACCAGTAGTTCCGGAGATTAGTGCGTTCAAGTAAACAAACAAACAAACTCTTCAGCTTTATAATATCAGTATAGATGAGCAATGCTTGACTTGTGTTTGCAGGAAGACATCTGGGTGGAGGCGCGCGACGAGTGGACGTGGCGCGCGGCGCCGCTGCTGGCGCTGCTGCCGTGCTGCCTGCGCTGCGTGCCGCTCGCGCACAACGTGGCGCGCCTGCTCGTGCGCCTCGTGCACGTGGTCAGTATATTATTATGTTGCGATATGAGTACATCTCTTGTGGTCAAGTGTTCGTTTCAGCCGAAAGACGTCCACTGCTGGACAAAGGCCTCCCCCAAGGATTTCCACGAAGACCGATCCTGCGCCGCTCGCATCCAGGCACCTCCCGCGACCTTCACCAGATCGTCGGTCCACCTAGTGGGAGGCCTGCTCACGCTACGTCTTCCGGCTCGTGGTCGCCACTCAAGAACTTTCCTGCCCCAGCGGCCATCAACTCTACGAGCTATGTGCCCCGCCCACTGCCAATTTATTTTAGCGGTTCTGCGGGCTATGTCAGTCACTCTGGTTCTCCTACGAACCTCCTCATTTCTGATTCGATCACGTAGGGAAACTCCGGTCGAGTGTGACGTGTTATTGTT